TTCTGATGGCCCGGACAGTGAAGTACACCATTAACTTCATGGAAGTTGCTGAGGAAGATTTGCATAGGTCAGCAGATGCCAGCAACCTACTCTTAATCTTTCATTTTTGTAACTGGCTGTTGATCATTGGTGCTCAGAGACAGAGGAAGCTTTGGCGGTGGACGAGGAGGAGGGAAGGTGGCATGCCGGAATGATTAGTACACCACTCGTAGTGGACCAGAGCATTCACCTGCATGACAATTTGTCTAGTATTAGCAGAGAAGCCTGTTTGTGAGCCTGTGAAACACCAGAGATCAGTTCACAAAATTTTCTTACTGAAAGGGATAAAATGGGCTCTGGAGGACAGTGTTTACTTCTCAGCATTATATGTTGGGACACATTTAAATCTAGTTACAAGGCAATTTTTGTTTTTCTGCGTAGACATCCTAAAAGACCTTGTCAAATGGTGTCATCACAAGCTGCCTTGCTGAACTCTTGCGTATATCTTTTTTTTAAACATTTTCCAGTCCAACAGGAGTCAGCTGTACCTCTTTACTTCCCTCCAGAGCTCCTTCAGATGTTTAGTTGGAAGGTCTTACATATAAACCAGCCTGCATCCCTTGTGTCCCAGAATGACAGCAGAGAAGCCTCATTCGCAGTACATCTGTGAAATAAAATGTACCATATGGGAGAACTTGAGGAAGTACTTCAAGTCCTTGCAAGACACTATCTTAAGGGGAAAATACCACAGACTGTCTTTGAAACTATGAACCCTTGTTTCAACATGATTCACAACCAATTGTATAAATGACATGGTCTAGTGAGAGAGAAGAATTGCTCTAAGAGGGGGGAAACAGCTGGAGAATTATTTTCCAGTCTCAGTTGGCTAGCGTAGACTTCCTTCAGTGGTTCTCAGAACTAACATGTTCACATCTGAATGCTAATTTTATGGTATGTTTCTGCAAGAGTGGGTGAGATTTGGGTTGAACTACATAGCCAGTAATAGTTCTTTTGGAAGGGAAGATATTCCAGCTCTTGCTCAAGCAGTTCAATTTTTCCTTCTGTTTGCAGTAGCAGTTCTGTTTGTCAGATTTGTAGTGGAACATTTTCCTGTTCAAAATAGTATTTAAACTAAATCCAAGTCCTTCACTGGGAATGGGAAATTTTCCACTGGAAAGACTGAACCCCTGCATTTGTAACAGTCTGCAGTGTTGCCACAAATGATGCAGTAACACTTGTGTAGTGGCGTATTTGATCTACTGTCGAATAAGGCATCCAAAAAACTAACACCTAAATCAGTGCCATTGGTTAATTCCATTGACACAGAGAAAAAGAGCATATCCTTTTAAATATATGGAAAATTGAGACATAAACTGATGAATACGAATGGAGATACGTAAATTAGTACAAGGTAGGTTTCTGGTGGAATTTCCAGTACTCTTTGGAAGTTACTTTGGCAGCATATTGTTTTTTCTCCTGCAGAGTGGAAATCCCTTTTGTTTTCCAAATGATGCAGTCTGGACTAATCCATGGCCTAGCCTTCTGGTTTGATGTGGCATTTGTAGGATCACTGTAAGTACTTTTTCCTTCTTTCTATGAAATACTAAATACAGGGGAAAAAACCACGACTTTCATACAAAGTGTGGCAGAATTAGACCTTTATCTGGTGCTGACCTTGTTTGTAATGTAATTCCGCCATATCAAAGAAATGATGCCTTCTAGAGGTAACAGGAAGTGTGATAACCTAGTGCTAGCAGTATGACTAGATGGTGGTGATCTTGCTTCCCATTCATTGGGGTGCACATTATCTATGGTAGACCACATCCAGGAATTGTTGGGGGTCAAAATGCACTGTTCCACACAATACTGATTCTTTGTAATATTATATACCTTTCTGGTTTACATTGCAAGTAAAGCAGCAGCATTTGAACATAAGCTGGATTTTCCCATTTGGGCTGGTCTTGTTTGTGGGCAAAAAGGAGAGCTGGCTGCAAGTTCCAGCTAACAAAATGGAAATGGAGAAAATTTCACCAGGCTTGGGAAAATTTTTCACTGCAGAACCAGGCATATATTTCAAAATGGGGACATTCATCTTCTATAGTAAGTAGGTGAAAATTAGATAAACTTGCTCAGGTAGCCAATACATAGATTACAACTATCTGTATTTAGCTCTTAGATAAGATTTCTTGATTTCCCAGTTAAACTGATCTAGTTTTAGAGGAGGTGATTGTAAAATGCACTTCTATTTATTTGTGTTGATAAACGCCTTTTACTAGCCTTTTAAATAAGGATTGTCAAGAATTTGGAATAGTATGTCCATTAAAAGAAAATGGACATATGTGTGTTTCTATTCACTTTAACAGCTGATAGTAAAATTTTTAGTCTTAAAAAAGGAACCAGAAACTCCACATCAGTTAAAACAGTAGAGACAATTGCAGTCTTGTAGGAACTGACTGAAATCCTCTGCCGAGAAGGCCTCCATTTTGGAGTAAGCAACTGATTGATCAGCATGTCTTTCATGTTTCTACAACTCTGGAAGTTCTTTGTCTTAGCACGTGAAATCTCAGTGGATTGGGCTCGCGGTATTACCTGTGTTATCCCTTTCTTTGCACCTACAGCTGCTTTCAATATATTATTGAAATGTCTCTTGCAAATGAAAACTAGGCATAGGGCCTTCTTGGGGAGTGTTTTTTAAGGATGAAACTACCATTGTGAGGAATCGCATTGCCACATTCAGGACAAACCTTCATTTCCTGTAATTTGTTGAAATTGTCTGAGTGGTAAGAGGAGAGAGAAATTAGTATTCTCTGTCCTGCCAGCATGGAAAGAAAAGAAAACAGGCGTCTAAAGAGTCTCTTTTGAATCTCCATAATTGGCTTAGGCACACAGATCTGGTGGTGACAGGAACAGTATAGGTAAAGAAAATGAGGCATAACATACTGATTTCCCATCATAGGGCAGAATCACTCTCCCAGTTTACTTTAAGGCAGTTTAAAGTTTATTGTAAGCAGTTAAGGCCTCACATACAAAAAGGTCTAACAACTTAAAATTGTTTCCGGAAGGAAAGACAGGAGAGAAAGTCTAGATAGTTTTTCTCGTTTGTTTTAGGATAACTGTTTGGTTGTCCACTGCACCGACAGAACCTCTCACTCACTGGTATCAAGTACGCTGCCTTCTTCAGACGCCCCTCTTTGCTAAAGAGGGGGAAACTCTCTCAGGGAAAGTCTTATTTGTTGCCAATAAGCGGTAAGTGTAAAAGCTTCCCAAGCAGATTTTGTAGTGTGACTGTTCTTGTTAGAGGTACCCAAAAGACACGTTAATTTTGGGTATGCTTGTACCCACATTTTTTATTTCTGGTACCGTTACCGATTTACATGGTATCACTGATACAGTTACATAGGCACTGTTGACCTTGCGAGACTCAGCTCACCAAAAGTTCTCCATGTTCCACTCCAGTTACTTGTGATGTTCCTTCTCACATACCTTCTCCTTAACCACCTGTCACATCCTGCCTTCCCTCACAGTGCTACTTGCAGCTTTTGTCAGCTCTCCGCTCCACTATCTTTCACACACAGCAGTTTTCTCAGGTCATGTCCAGTCATTTTCTACACCTTGTTCTGGTAGTGTAACCTCTAGCCATGTCTTCATCAGCAGCCTTGTTTGCCCGAAGCCCCAACATCCTTTGCCTCTCAGCAAGTCCTGTGCAGAGACAAGGAGAAGTGGGGTTGATCCCAAATCCATTACATTTTTAATTCTGAAAAAAATTCCTCATGGGTGTGCTCCCCTGTTTAAGAATAGTGCTTTTCATGCCTTGTTTGGCCTTCCACTGAGGCTGATGAAGATGGCTGCTTTTGGAAGGGCATATTTCCTCACCAGACTTCTCTGCTGTTCCTGCTGTCAGTCAAATGTTTGGTAACTCCACTCCCATGCTTTGTTTTGAAAACAATCCTCAAGTGACTGGCTTATGTGTATGCATAGTTTTAACAGGAAACAAAGCCTCCCCGGTGTAGGAAGGGGAAAAGTGGATTTTTTTTTTTTTGGGGGGGGTGGAGGGGGAACATGCTGACCAGTCAGGTGATTCCAGTGACATCAAAGCTGTCAGTAATACTTCCAGGGCTCTTTAATCACATCAGCAACAAATACTTGATGTGGGACTTGTTAAATTTCCAGATTTACTGCTTAGAAACGCCTCATGGAGAAAATAAATAATACAGATCTTGATATGTCTCTTTCAAATGTAAAATGTATTCATATTTTAATATATAAAAGAAACACTGTATGCCACAAAGTGATCACACAGCCACTGCTGTAAATATGTCAATGCATAAGGCATATCTACAATGGAGCATGGCTCAGAGATACCTGAGCTAGTGACCTTGCCATACTGAGAATGAGAAGCACTTTAACCATGTGTCAGGAGTGAGTTAACAATTCCTGCCACAAAGCTAATCTGCTTTTGGGATCAACATAGTACCGCTGTGTTAACTCTGCAGTTGCTGTTCCATGCAGGAGGACCAGCTTTGGTCAGCTTCAGCATTTTGGTGTGCTCTCAGTTGCTCAGTTGGTCCTCTTTACTTTTCTGTATAAACTCAGCTTCTTGCAAAAAGTCTTGTGAAAAATATCCTTCCTGGTGAAATCCAAGGCTATGACAAGAGTGAACCTAATGCTGTTTGGCCAGTTAGATATTTTTGATCATGAAATAATACTCTGATTGTACTTGCTAATGTTGAAATTTACAGCATTTCTGTCAGAGAGGGGGAAAAAGACCTTTCACTATTGAATACTATCAGTGCAAAATTATGATGTTTTTCAGGTGCAAACTCTTAAAATCACTTAAGCATCTTGTAAATTTTACTTCTTTAGAGATGATTAAATAATCATGCCTTGCACTGATACCACTGCAAATAAACTTCCTTTGCTTGTTATACTAAGTGGTTATTATTCAGACGGTAATTACACTGGTATTTTTTCACACAAGATGTTATAGTTGTTTTAGTTCCATTACCTCTCTTTTATACTTCTCTTTCTGATGCAGACAAAGTTATGACATTCAGATTGTAGCTGTGGTGGACCAGACAGGATTTAAATCTGGTAACATTCTTGATTTAAAGAATCCATTTTTTAGGTAAGAAATGCTTTTGACTAAAAAATTACTGTTGTAGAGTGGTAACATCTTGTATGACAGGATGCAAAGCACACCTACCGCGGAAGAACAAGTTTCTGACCTCTTACAGTTTATCTTATTTCTACAGGTATGAGGGCATCATTGTTCTGTATTAGCAGTAGTTACTTATATAAGCCAATATTCTACTTAGGCTGTGTGACAAAGAGAAAAAGAAAAAAAGCTTTATTAAAAATCTGTAATGATATAGTGCTGTGACAAAATAGTAGACATTTACTTACTTGAACTAATGTATACTTAAATTCTTTTGCTGTTTCATGTTGTGTGATGTGCATCATTGTGACTCGAGGAATCAGCAATATGGCAAGATGCACTCTGCTAAGTATCTAAACTGATATTACTATTTGACATGAAGGACCTGTCCTTTCTGTATTAAATATGAGGGGAGGAAAAAAATCTGCTTGCTGCAATCCTTTCCAACGGAGCAGGGACCTTCATTAGGCGTTGCTACAGCACTGTATTTTGGGAAAAGCTGTCAATTACAGATCAAAATAAGCAGGAGGAAGGAGCCATCAATTCTTCCAAAAGAAAAAAAGTTTTTTTGAGAAAAACAGGCTAGCTGTGTTCAGTTCTCATTCTTATGCTGTATTTGGCATAAAAATAGGCAAATGCAGCTGGTGGAATTGATTTTTTCCAGAGGTATACATGGAAAATGCTTCCCTCATTCATTATGTTTCCCATTTCCTATTTTTTTGACTCAGGCCTATATGACAATTCCACAGTAATCCTGTAAAATAAAATATCCATTGTGTCTGAAGAAAATGAATTAATTTTCATCTGTACATCAAATGTGCGGCACAGCAGTTGTTTTGGCTTTAGAATGGGGCCCTTTTGATTAAATTCATAAAAATACCTTTATAATAAAGACTGTTTATGGGAGACTTGCAGTAACTATAAATAAAATCATGAACTGGAAAAGATTATTTTCCTCAGATTTGACCTGTGACATGGACAGTGTCTAGCTTGCTTATGTTTTTGGTTTGGCTGATACCGGTTTCAAATCTAAACGCTTTTTGTGAGGATGATTACAAGTAAGTTTACTGGTCTTCTAAAATCTCCATACTTACTCTCAGCACTCATTGCATAAGTGTGAGTGCCTTTTCAAGGATAATACAAGTCCACTCATTTAGAAGCAAAAGAAGCTGTTGTTAAGAGTTTTTAACTTACATAAAATGTAGAAATCACTTTCAGAATGCTATAACTCATTTGCAAGAAAGCAGGGAGGGAAATGGTCAAATTGTGTGTTACATATAGAAGTACTTTAAGTTATATGAAGCGGTATTCTAGTTTGAAAATTCAATGTAAAAATGTCACTGTGTGATTTAATGGTTGCTAGCCAATTAACCATATCAAGTTCAATAATCTAGACTGCTGTTCTTTTATACATTAATTCTTAGAGTGCTTGGTTGTGAAATCCTGCCACAGCATACTAACCTTATTTAACAGGCTTCCCCTGTGAGGCTCCATTAGGTTTTTTTATTGATCCTTCTCCATTCTGCCCCTGCCCTCCCATACCAATTACCAGAACTCTGAAAGAGTTGAAAAAACAAAGGCAAAGAAGACTTCCCAAAAGAAAAATGCTTACTTATAAACACAAGGTAACTTTCAAAGCATTCGTAAGGTTTTTAAAATTAAAATATAATCCAGGTTTTAAACTGCGACATGCAAATTACTGTGCATGGTACGACATTATGCCACCACATTACAGCCTAGCTCTCTTCTACGTCACTGCTTCATAGTGTCCCTGATACAAATGCTTATCTCTGTACCACAGGGATGGATAGTAGGGAAGGGGCAATTCTGGACATTTTTTGCTCATTTAAAACAACTCCATACTAATTCTATAGCATCAGGTAAAAATAAAAGACTGGACTGGGAAGCCTTTCATTTCTGTGAAGGCAATGGCCTGAGCTGCTACACATAAGAGCAAAAGGAAGCCTCTGCCTTTGTAAAATAAGCTATAGTGGATTTGGTAGCATTTTACACTTTATTGCACAGCTGCAAATCTAGATGAAAAGACTTACAATTTAAATTTGAAATCACACTGCATTTAATAAATCCAGTAACAGCACAGGGGACTGATTTCCTAGCCTTATTCCAATGAGATTTATCTGACATACATTGGCTGAGTGTTGTGCTACACCACTTTCAATTTCATAAAAGTCCTTATTAAATATCAAAAAGCTGTCAATATTTTTTACTCCAGAGTAAAATAAAAGCTGTATTAGAATTTATTAAGTTTGCTTAGTTCAGCTAGTGCTGTAAGCTATCAAAGAATTGTATATTTTATTATAACCATTTTATTCTTTCATCCATTTTTAGGTATGCCTAGAATATATTATAATATCGCATCTGAAAACAGAATTGAGATTCTCACCAAGCTGAGTAACCAGTGAGACTGAAATCAGTTCAGTTCTTAGTAGGCCTACTGGTGCTTGTGTAAAATCAATTTGTAACTGTACATATCTGCAACTGTATGCGAGTCACATGAGAAGGGAATATTGTGGTTCCATCCCTTGTTTTGTTAATTGAAATTTAGCCTGCACTCACATTTACAGACTTGAGTTGCAGCAGACTCAATTTTATTCTAGAAAGTTCATTTGGTATAGAACAAGAACTATTTCTCTTTCTTGGTTTTTATTTGTGTTTTACAGTAAGCTACATTGGTTCACTCGTCTTTTTTTTTTTCCTTTAATATTCTTACCAATATTCTAGGTTATTGAACAAAACCTACCTCATGTTTATATATGTAACACATCAAAAGATTTTTGAGCAGTATGTAGTGTCCGTGCTTCAAACACTCAGCATTTATTTCCAGATATTTCAATTTTTGTTGTTAATCTAGCTCACCAGGGCAGTGTGCTAAATACTTCAATTTTCTCTCAATGGACTCATTAATATGGTTCATTTTGAGACATAAACCTGAAGTCATCTTGCATATACTTTGTAAATGTTCTAGATTTCTTTATGCCTACAGAAGTGTAACAGGACACATTTGTAAATTACTCCCAGCATAGCGATATAAAACTGTATGACAGGGTAAGTGTGACTTTCACTTTTTCTGTAGCTCTCTGAGAAGTATTGATAGTCCAAGCTATATAAAGATGTATTTTTGGCTTGCGTACCTAGCAAATGAGGAAGACTACAGAGTTACAGCACAGATTTTAATGAGATCTCTCTCCAGACAATGTTATCCATAAAGAGCACATAGTGACTTTTATAGAATGTGTTTCTGTCGTTCAAAGTATATGCCTTAGGCTGAATTAATGAGCTGGAGTCAAATCAGAAATGTATACGTCATTTTACTACCAAAAACATAACTGCAGGGATACCTCTAGCAAGATATAATCAGCCGTTAGCCTTCCATACCCTGTTGGAGAAGGCTGGTTTGAATGAAAAGCCCCACGAAAACTGACTGTTCTCTCAGGAAGTTACATGCCGCATTTGATCAAAAGACCCCCTAAGGACCCCTGCTGGGAATCATTAAGAAACAGATGTAGTTTCAGAGTTTTTTCTGCAAGTCAACAGCCATTTGCAGCTATTTGAAGATAGTTCATGAGATTATGGAAAGTAGTCCCTAAAATTGTGAAACTTGTAAAAGTAACATGAACTTCATGGCTGAGGCCATGAAACCACTGAAGTTAGTGTCAGAAAATTATTGCCTTGTTATTTCCAGTAGCATTTAATACAGCAAGTAAGAGACTTCTAGCATAAAAATGTAGTTTGCACAGTAAAAGCCTGTTTTGTTACACAAATATATAATATATATTTAAAAAATAGTATTTAATGTGGGTTGCTGCCTCAGAATGGTAACAGAAATTATCATTCTAACCTGTACAAGCAGTGTAATGAGATTTCTGATGCAATGTCTGATGGTTGGGTATCTGTCCTTCCTAAATTGAGTCTGTACAGTGGTTGGTGGTTTTATGCTTATATGAGAGAAGGAAACAAATCCAGGAACGCCCAAATCCAAATACCAGGCAGCTGTAGTTCAGAGTTTTCTAGAGTTTGGAGGGTTTTCCTCAGCAATTATGAAAGGAGTATATGAAATTTGAATCTGAAGTCAGCTAATAGATTTGTAATGCCTCCTATTGACCTGCATGTCTGTCTGGATCTCACATTTCAGTCTCCAAGAAAAAGTATCTGTGTATCAAAGACTTCTGTTTTCTATAGGGAAAAACCTTACATTGTCAATTTCGTGTGGCAACTTCAATTCTTTTTAAGGAAGTAAATAAAGGGGAGGAAAAACAACAGCAGCAGACAGCAGTGTCAGATTGTATATCTTTATTTAATTCCAGAGCAAAAGGTTTATGTATCTAATAACTGCATCTTCAATATGTATAGAAAAGATTGTTTCCTTACACACTAACTAGTACAAAGAATATTTCACAGTGATTGCTATTTTGAAGTGATTTGGATAATCCAGGACTGGTATTTGTATTTCTCTTTACTTCAGGAATTCACTTTATTCCAGATTGTATGCTAAAACCGAAGAGAAAATTGACACTGAGTACTGTACCGTTTACAGTTTGAAATAAGGTCCTGTGACTGTCTTCATTTCCTTATCATTTAACATTTTCCTCTTTCCTGCTTTGAAGCATTGGTGATTTTGAAGTGTAAAGGAGCCTACCTTCAAGGACTACAATGTACTGTTTTCACCTTACAGGACTTTCTGGGTATAAACATAAGAATATATTTGTAAAGTATTTTTGAAACAACATGTCAATGAAAACATTTTATTGATACAAATGCTGGTGTTTTGCTTCCATTTTTTATAAAGGCAACGTTAATGAATGCTAGAGAATGTAGGGGAACTAAAGCAGAACTGTGGGGACACTGGAGCAAGAAGTGATGATGCAGTTTTACAACGTAAGACTCTTGAACGGATTTGACCACATTATGAAATACAGCATTTCCTCACTT